CCTAAACCCAATCCTTAGTTCCAAAAGGAATAGAATTAGCGAGCTTATAATATTAGTTCCTAATTAGGACTCCTAAATATATAAATAGGAGACTTAGGAGGCACCTAGAACTTCCCACAACAATAACGCCCCACCACCCCAAAAGAGCTCCAAGAATCCCCTTAGGATAAATCAAGAAGGCAAGGAAGCTTAAAGAAAGACCCTTCATAGCCAAGGAATTAATTAAGGCTAAGAGGTAACCCATGTCTCAACAAAACCTATTTTTATAGTTATGATTCCCCCTTAGGGTTTCCCCCATATTATTGTGTTTGGCGAGTTATGATAATTATTGTTGATGTTTGATGTGATGATCCCATGAGGGATCTTGATAATCTTGATATTGGGAGTCTCTTGATAATTATGATGTTCTTGATGATTATTTGGGATTCTTGATAATTATGTGTTGTTCTTGATAATTGTGTGATGTTCTTGATGCCGATGCGTTATTCTTACCGAATCTTGTAATTAGAAGACGAATCGTATTCCTGTTGATATAAAAGCGATTAGAACCCTAGGTTGTATCGTATGATCTTATTCTTGGGTTGTTGGGTGAGGAAATCGCATGTTTGGGTGTTGATTGTGTTTAGAAAAGCATGATAGGTTATGTGTCGTTCGTTTCTCGTAATTGATCCGTTAATTGTCTACGTGTTGTCGTTAATTGCGTTGTAAAGTGTCTAAGCATGGTTTCGGGTTCCACAACGGTTCCCGGGGCGCAATTGATGAAAAAGAGTCAGTGGGGGGTAGGTGGGGGGTAGGGGACCCGCCACCTACCCGGTGCCGAGAATCACCGCCTGGCAGCGGGTGGCCGGCGGGCGGGCAGCTGCCCGCCGGCGACCCGCTGCCCGGAACAGTAAAACCGGCGGGTGGCCCCCCCACCCACCGGCTACCCGCTGGAAATTCGTCCCACCCGGGTTCCCGGCTTCCCCGTTTGATGTTCCCCGTTCCCCGTGGTGTCCCAACGGACTCCATTTATCGTGCCTATGTCTAGTTTGATGTTTCGGGTACCGTTCGTAGGTTTATGAGTCTATTATATTGCATGCTAGTTGAATTGGTACCCCGTTGACCTAGGTGGTAGAAGTATGAATCCCTTAGGACTATTCTTAGTAAGTGATGGATCACGCATAGGTTTTGTTATACGTTTCCTCCCCCTTCCTAATGTGTAATGTGGGTTGCATGTGCTTGCTATGTGTTATGTGTGTGTTACCCCAATTCGGTTGCGATCGGATTGGTTATCCTGAGCTGCGGTTCAGAAGCTAGCTGCGGTCAGATTGATTCTCTTGGGCTGCGGTCCACCGTTTGGTTGCGATCAAACGTTTCTATACGAGCTGCGGTTCATCCTTTTTCCTGGCTGCGGTCAGATGACATTCTCTTGGGCTGCGGTCCACTGTTTGGTTGCGATCAAACACTATGATGAGCTGCGGTTCATTGGTCGGTTGCGATCGACCCCTCCGTGTTGCGATACGGGGCAGGGTGCTGCGGGGCCGTGTCAGAGCTATATGCGCTGACCCTCATGTATGGGCATGCGATTGGTCCTGTGGCGCCAACAAAGTGTGTTATGTGTTGTGATATGGATGAGTTGTGATTATGAGTATCTTGGGGGTTGTGACTATGGGATTTATGTTGGGGATTGTTTACGTTGGGTTATGATTATTAATGGTGCTCAGCTTTATCTGTCTTGCCTGTTGTGGACTGTATATGCTCGTTATAACTGTTGCTTGTGTCTGGCCTTATCTGTCGAGTCATTCCCGGTTTTAAAGCTAGAGTTCGTAGGGTATATCTTCATGCTCAAAATGGTTTTCGTATATCTATATATATCTCTATATGTATTGTATTTCAACGCGTTGGAGTGGGTTACCAGCATCTCTCGCTGGACAGATATATTTGGCTTTCAGGCACAGAGGACTAGAGCACTGGAGCGCGCTAGAACTGGAGCGTAGAAGTAGAGTAGTTTCCCTTTCGGCCTGCGTGCCATATTATGCATTGTGTTTCAATGGATATTAGTTAGACAGCCTGTGCACCTGGGTTCTCTAGCCCAGGTGTGGCATAGCACCCGTACACTTATGATATACTTTGGGATGTAATGAGATATTACCTTTATTATATAAGCTTAAAATGTCTTGAAAATCTGGGGTGTTACAACCTTGCCCTTCTCGGCCGAGATTATGGCGTACAGGATACCCGACGACTTTAAATTCCCAGAGCAGGCCACCTTCGACGGATCCGGCGACCTGCGCGAACATCTCTTGAGTTACCAAGCCATGTGTGGCACTTTCCTGCCAACGCTGAAGGGCTCGGCGCAAAGATGACTCGTGGCCTTACCCCTAGGCTCAATCCGTAGTTTCGAAGAGTTGGCCGACCGCTTCATGAGTCATTATGCGGCTAACATCAAACCGCAAAAAGATTTAACATATCTGGGAGATATCCGTTAAGAGGAGGGCGAATCTCTCAAAACTTACCTAGCCCGGTGGGAAAAGGAGATTCATTCCATCGAAGAGGTAGAGGATCAGACTGCCCTCACCTTCTTCATCGAGTCGCTGCGATCTGACCAACTTTATCGCGACCTCAGACACAACCGGCCCGCCACCTACGCGGAGGCTATTCACATGGCCAACAAGCGAGCCAATACGGAATAAGCCGTGAAACATAAACGACAACGTGAGATCGGAGGATCCTCCGGGGGGAAGCGAACCCGGGCGGAGGTACGGGAGAGAAGTCCAGACTCGGCCCTGCGACCGAGGCTCGACGCGTATACGACAGGCCCAGCGTCCAGCCTTACCGGCCGACCTCCCAGCATCTGATACATGAAGTGCAGGCCGTCGCATCGCCTCCACCTCCTCTTACCGGAGAGCGCGCAGTAAATGAGGACCCGGGTAAGTCGTCTAAGTATTATCGATACATAAATCCTACACCCACAACACGGAGGAGTGTTACTACCTGAAGAAGATCTTGGAGGGGATCATCCAACAAGGGACGCCGCCTCCCAACCAATGGCGAAGAAGATCGGCGACCCCCCAGAGGCGGTCGAAGGCAATCGCGGAAAGCAGCCGGCGACCGACGAAGGTGAAACCCAGTGGAGGTAGAAGCCGGTTATCAACATGATAGTCGGCGGACCTGAAAGAAGCGATTCTGCCAACACTAGAAAGGCCTGGGCTCGGCAACTGTATGTAGGGACCGTGTATGGACGAGAAGGCGGCTCGAAGAAAGTATGCCGGGAGCCTATCGTCTACACAGACAAAGATTTGCCCGCCAGAGAGACACTGCATCGCGACGCCCTAGTCATTGCTATGGATGTAAATGGGGTGGTCGTCTGGCGAATCCTGGTGGACACCGGGAGCAGCGTCAATGTCTTATATCTCGAGATCTTCGTCAAAATGGGGCTATCACGGGAACAACTAGCCTCAGTCAAGACGCCACTTGCTGGTTCACAGGCGACTCCGTGGAAGCTGAGGGATCCATTATTCTACCCGTTGAGGATGGGACCTATCCCGATGTACAGAAGCTAGACATGAAGTTCATCGTGGTCGACTTGGCATGCTCTCACAACGCAATCCTCGGCCGGCCTGGTTTGGAAGATCTGGGAGCTTTGATCTCCGTCGAGCATCTTTGCTTAAAATTCCGCACACCAAGCGGTGTAGGTACGGTGCGTTGCGACAGGAGAACCGCCCGCGACTGCTACCTGCAAGCTTGCTGGGGTATGGGCAAATGAGAGATGCAGGTTCATGAGATCACGGAACGACCCCCGAAGAAGACGATGCCACCTCGCCCCGAGCCGGCCGTAGAACTGGAGGAAGTTGAGATTGGCCTGTCTCAACAAGAAAGGCGAGTGAATATTGGAGTCGGCCTCCGCGAAGAGGTGCAAGAGGAAGTCATCAAGGTGCTTCGAGAAAACCGCTTGGTTTTTGCGTGGGGACCCGAAGATATGCCTGGAGTGGACAGGTCTATAATCTCTCATCGGTTCGCCGTCGACCCTGGTCACCGACCTGTGATCTAAAAGAAGCGATACCTGGCTAATGATCGCATATAATTCGTCAAGAAAGAGGTAAATACACCACTAGCCGCCGGCCATATCCGGGAAGTCAAGTATCCGAAATGGTTAGCCAATGTGGTGCTTGTGCCGAAACCACCAGCCTAGAGGATGTGTGTAGATTACACCGACCTTAACAAAGCTTGCCCAAATGACTCTTTTCCTTTGCCCAGGATTGACCAGTTGGTCGGCGAGACGACAGGGTCGGCATTGTTGAGCTTCATGGATGCCTTCCGAGGGTATCACCAAATCTACATGCACAAGGCCGATGAGGAGAAAACATCTTCCTGACCCCGAATGGCGTATACTGTTACCAATTCATGCCCTTCGGACTCAAAAATACAGGAGCCACATATACACGAATGGTCGCCCGACTATTTCAGGACCTGTTGGGAAAATCCATGGCAGCGTGGATGATATGCTGGTGAAGAGCCGGGAAGAAGTCAGTCATGCCGGGGACTTAGCCGACTGCTTCCAGGTAATGCTTAAGTATAATTTACGACTTAACCCCAAGAAATGTGCCTTCGCCGTGCAAGGGGGGAAGTTCCTAGGATACATGGTGACCAAGAGAGGCATTGAACCCAATCCCGAGAAGGTGCAGGCTATAATGGATATGCAGCCTCCCAGAACCGTTAAGGATCTACAATGACTGACCGGTCGACTGGTCGCCCTGAGCCGCTTCCAAAGTAAGTCGGCGGACAAGACTGTGCCCTTTTTCGAGGCCATGAAGAAGAAAACGGGTTTCGTGTGGACGACCGAGTGTCAACAATCCTTTGAAGAGCTGAAAAGGTACCTTTCCACACCTCCAGTGCTGTCTACCCCCCCAGGTCGGTGAACCTTTATTCTTATACCTGGCGACGTCCCCCAAGGCTGTGAGCTCGGACTTGTCCGAGAGGAAGAACGGACTCATTACCCAGTGTATTACGTGAGTCGCTCCATGAAGTTGGCTGAAACTCGGTACACGCTGCTGGAGAAAATAGTTTATCCCTTGGTGATCACAGTGCAAAAGTTGGCACCCTACTTCCAAGCCCACACCTTCCGAGTCCTGACCGACCAACCTCTGGGAAGTGTGTTGCGGAATCCCACGTCGTCCGGACGGCTCGTGAAATGGGCGATAGAGCTAACCCAATATGGAATCGTGTACCAGCATCGCCCCTCGATTAAAGGGCAGACCCTGGCCGACTACTTGGTCGAGTGCACCGCGGGAGAAGATGACAAGACCTCGGCCTCAGAGGAGGGCCCCAGCGAATGGTGGGAAATGCATGCGAATGGAGCAGCGAGTTGCCAGAACTGCGGCGGCGGAGTCATGCTTATCACACCCGAAGGGTTCAGGCTCTACTACGCTTTGAGTTATTTGTTTCAGACATCCAATAACGAGGCCGAGTACGAAGCAGTACTGGGAGGACTACGACTTGCCAAGACATTAGGGGCGGATCGCCTGCGGATCAAGACTGACTCGCGCCTGGTAGTAGGACAGGTGTCCGGAACCTGCGAAACCAAGAACGCCCAGATGGCTCAATACAAAGAGAAAACAATGGAACTATTGAAGGGATTTATGGCTTACGAGATAGAATACATCGCCCGGGCCGACAACGTGGAGGCTGATATACTATCGAAGATCGCCTTGGAAGGCGTGCTAGACCATCTTGTGAGAATTTGTCAAAAGGAGGAATTGCTTCGACCCAGCATAGAAGAAACAACTAATGAGATTCAACAAGTGACGACCCAGGAATGGGACCGTGACAAAAACCCGGAAATGTTTTGGATAGAAGACATTCGCCGTTACAAAGAGAAGGGAGAACTGCCAGACGACCCCGTGGTCGCTGCCCGAGTTTGCCACAAGGCTCCTTCATTTGAGATCATAGAGGGGCAGTTGTATAAGCGATCATTCGGGGGTCCTCTCCTCAAGTGCCTGCTCAGAACGGATGCGGAAAAGATAACGGATGAGGCTCATCGTGGAATATGCGCGGCCCACCAAGGCGCACACACACTCGCCCGGAAGTTAGTCGTTCAAGGCTACTATTGGCCTACTATGATGCGAGACTGCATAGAGTGGATAGCCAAATGCGTAGTCTGTCAAGCATTTGCTCGGAAAGATACTCGGCCCGCTACCTTTTACACGCCAGTCACCACGGTCATCCCGTTCGCAAAATGGGGTATTGAACTTCTGGGTCCTTTATCGGTCACTCCCGGACGTCTAAAGTTCTGCGTGGTAGCTACCGATTACTTCACCAAGTGGATTGAAGCCGAGCCGCAGGCCACCATCACTGAGTATCAATGTCGACGCTTTCTGTGGAAGAAGGTGATTTGTCGTTTCGGGCTACCCGAACACATAGTCAGTGAAATGGTCGACAGTTCCACTACCGACCATTTGTCGATTTTTGCCGACGACCACAGCATACGACACACTAAAGTGTCGGTCGCCTATCCCTAGGCCAACTGGCAAGTTGAAAATGCAAACCGCACGATCGTGGACGGTATCCGGAAAAAGTTAGAAGACGTCGGAGGAAACTGGGCGGACGAGCTTGACCGAGTCCTATGGGCGTATCGGACCACCCACAGACGGGCGACTCGTGAGAGCCCATTCTCCTTAGCATATGGCTTCGAAGCCAAGGTACTTGTAGAGGTCGTTGAGCCCACTCACAGAGTCCACAATTATTCGGATGAGGGAAACGAGGAAAACCTTAGGATTGAAAAGAACTTCTTAGAAGAACGAAGGGAGGTCGCGCATGCTCGCATGGTGGAGTATCAGCAGACTGTGAAGAGATACCAGGATCGACGAATTCGCCCACGAACCTTCCAGGTGGGCGACCTCGTGCTGCGAGATCGACAGGCTAGCCAACCCACGGAGGGGGGAACATCGATGTCAAGTGCGAGGGGCCCTATCGCATTGTCGCTGTGGTCCAGGCCGGCACATACACGCTAGAAACCCTAGAATGAAAGCCCGCCGACTGGATCTGGAATGTAATCCACTTGAAGAAATATTATCAGTGAAAGGTCAGTCACGTGTATTCGTTTAAAAGTTCGAATTTGAATAAAATGCCTATGGCTTTTCGCATGTTGGCAACAGTTTCTGAGATAGAAAAAGCCTAAAGGGTCACCTCGACTGAGGGACACAGCGAGAAGAGATAAGGAAACAAGGGCACCGACCCTTAGACGTTTCCAAGAAAAACCCTACAGGAGTCACCTCGTTTGAGACACTCGACATGAAAAGAGAGAGAAACTAGGGTTCCGACCCCAAGACGTTTCTGAGATATAAAAAGTCTAAAGGGTCGCCTCGACTGAGGGACTCGGCGCGAAGAGATAAGGAAACAAGGGCACCGACCCTTAGACATTTCCGAGAAAAAACCTACAGGAGTCGCCTCGTTTGAGAGACTCGGCAAGAAAAGAGAGAGAAACTAGGGTTCCGACCACAAGATGTTTCTGAGATAGAAAAATCCTAAAGGGTCGCCTCGACTGAGGGACTCGGCGAGAAGAGATAAAGAAACAAGGGCACCGACCCTTAGACATTTCCGAGAAAAAGCCTACAGGAGTCGCCTCGTTTGAGAGACTCGGCAAGAAAAGAGAGAGAAACTAGGGTTCCGACCCCAAGTCGTTTCTGAGATAGAAAAAGCCTAAAGGGTCGCCTCGACTGAGGGACTCAGCGAGAAGAGATAAGGAAACAGGGGCACCGACCCTTAGACGTTTCCGAGAAAAAGCATACAGGAGTCACCTCGTTTGAGAGACTCGGCAAGAAGAGAGAGAAACTAGGGTTCTGGCCCCAAGACGTTTCTGAGATAGAAAAAGCCTAAGGGGTTGCCTCGACTGAGGGACTTGGCAAGAAGAAAAGGAAGCAAGGGCTCAGACCCTTAGACGTTTCCGAGAAAAAGCCTACAAGAGTCGCCTCGTTTGAGAGACTCGGCAAGAAGAGAGAGAAACTAGGGTTCCGGCCCCAAGACGTTTATGAGATAAGGAAATGCCTAAAGGGTTGCCTCGACTGAGGACTCGGCAAGAAGAAAAGCAAGCAAGGGCTCAGACCCTTAGACGTTTCCGAGAAAAAGCCTACAAGAGTCGCCTCGTTTGAGAGACTCGGCAAGAAGAGAGAGAAACTAGGGTTCCGGCCCCAAGATGTTTCTGAGATAGGAAAAGCCTAAAGGGTTGCCTCGACTGAGGACTCGGCAAGAAGAAAAGGAAGCAAGGTCTCAGACCCTTAGACGTTTCCGAGGAAAAGCCTACAGGAGTCGCCTCGTTTGAGAGACTCGACAAAAAGGGAGGGAAACTAGCTCCGACCCCAAGACGTTCCTGAGATAGAAAAGGTCTAAAGGGTCACCTCGACTGAGGGACTCAGCGAGAAAAGAGAAGGAGGCAAGGGCTTAGACCTTTAGACATTCCCGAGAAAAAGCCCATAGGAGTCGCCTCGACTGAGGGGCTGATGTTATCACATCTTTGCTTGTTATTATAGTTATTTTGAATCATCTCAGTATTTAAGTTCTTTAATTTTGCTTATTTAATACATATTTTCCTTGCTATTATCATTTAATTATGGTTCACACTTGTTTTGAATGTTTTACGGTGTTTGTTAGTGTTTTTGAACCATTTTAGGTCAAAGATATGAGCAAGGGAAGTTCAAGGATGAGTTTTGAGCAATTTTTGACAAGTTCGGGGCCCAGAGGACTCGACGCGTCGAAAATTTCCAGTAGCATCAGAAGTCGAGACCATCAGGTCTCGACGCGTCGAGCGAGGCATGAAGTAGCAGGCCTAATTACGACAAAAAGGGAGTTGGCAGCAATTCAACTTTAATCCCATTCAATTCCAAGTTCCAATCAACTTCAATAGCAAATTTCAATTCCAACTTCCAATTTCAATTTTAAATTAAGTCGGCAATTTCTTTATATATAGGAATTATAATTTGAGTCCAATTTTGTACAAGATTCCTATTTCATCTCAACTTTGTACCCACTATAAAATCCCTCTTTCCTCAACCCTAATAGGAGGACCGAGACCGAGAGATTTTTAGAGTTCTTTGTAGACAAGAAAGAGAGAAATCAAGAGGCTCAAGTCGTCTTTGGAAGCAAGGAGGAAGCCAGAGAGATTTGGGAGAATCGCTTGGTTAATTCTTGTACTCTTCTAATGATTTGTAATCCTTTATTCATATTTGCTATGTATAATTTAGCCATGCTTGGCTAAATTCCTTAGGGATTTTTGGGTGAATTTGTTTATGAACCTATGTGCCTAGTTCGTTAATTTCTTAATATATTTATGTTTGGTTTTATGATTTGTGTTGCAATCTTGTTTTAATCTGTTGCTGTTGGTAGTTAAAGGCCTAAATTACTAGCTTCACAGTCATGTTTGTGTCACCAATGGGAGTTGGGGCATAAATTAGGGCACACACGATTGCACCTAATGGTTGGTCCTTGGGAAAGGGGAACTTATTAGGGGAAGTTTATTCTAGATTATTGCTCATCGGGAGATGATAGTAATTAGGAATAATTGAATGCTGATCTTTGATCTTATTGGGTGTTTATGCCATGGGAGTGGAAATTCACTAGGAATAGAGATTACGGGAGTAATTCGATTCCACTTTGCATTCCCATACAAATCTTAATTCCAAACCAAATATTACAAACGTTAATTGGCACTAGGTGATTAAACATTGTGATCCCAAGAATCCTATTTTGCTCTATTGTCTACAAAACCTTGCTACTTATTTTATTCTGCTTGTTATTTTATGCAATCAATCAACCTTCAAGTTTTGTTTGGACTAGTTTCATATGAGTAACCTAGTAGCTAGTGATTAGTACACCACCTCTCTGTGGTTCGACAACCCGAATACTCCGGGTATTATTTGTTTGCCCCAAATTACAGTAATCAGGGGCTCGGCGAGAAAAGAAAGAAACCACGGGGCACTGACCCTGAGTAGTTTCTAAGTCAGAAGAAGCATAAGTGGTCGCCTCGACTGAGGGACTCGGCGAGTTAGACGGCAAGGCTAGAGTGTCGACCCTCAAATCTTTTGCGAATAGTAGAGTACACTTGGAGTCGTCTCGATACAAGGACATGGCAGAGAGAATTTCGGCACATAAACGAAAAATTGCATAAATAAGAAAAGATGCATGAGGAGTTCTAAAAACAAAGTTTTCATTCATAAAAGTCCCAAGGGGGGACTAACCCTTAGAAAAGGAAAAGTTCAAATTATGAAAAACCTAAGCTACGAGGGAAGGTACATCAGCGTTGACCTCCTCGACTTGCTCCTCTACCGATGTTCCAGCTGGAGGAGTAGGCGAAGGGTCTTCTGCTGAAGGCAGCGGCTCAGCCGGCACAATTGGGTCCGCCACAGGAAGGGCCGCCGGAGAAGGATCAGTGGTCGCCACGGCCGCCTCAGGGGCCGGCAGAAGGTCCAGCACCGGCGTGAAGCCCCACCCTTAGGAGTGAAAGTTGGATCCCGGGCTAGAAGGAGGTCGTGCATCTCTAGCTGCGCCTCACGGAAGCCCATGCGGTAGTCGCGTTCGCCGAGATCCAACAGGTAGTCATTTCCCTCTGGAGTCGCCAACAACTCTTTGGCCAGAACCTCTCAATGACCCTCGACCGCCGACTTCACGTCCGCCTCAAAAGCAACGGCGGTGGCAGCAGCGGCGATAGCTTTGTCTCGCTCCTCCTCTATTGGCGGGTGACTCTCAAGAGTTCGGCTGTGTGGACCTCCCTCGCCTTGATGAAGGTAGCATGTTCTTCTTGACGAGCCTCCTCTGATTGACGCAGGTGATTGCTGAGGGTCTGCAACGTAGACTTTAGCGCCCGCATCCGCTTCCTCATCTCTAGCTGGAAGGTGAGGTTCTGGGGAAGAAGCATGTCAGTAATAAAATAAAGTAAAAAGAAAGAAGTTAAAGAAGAGAACGAGAGTCACCCGGTAGGATTGGCATAGAGAGGCCTCCAGGATGTACTCATCCTGTGTCTTGTTCGCCGCCTCCAGATCCTTGGGAAGGAGAACGTGCTCGGCCCATTTTTGGACCGAGTAGTTGCCCTGCCAAATCTGGGCATCTTCTTCGAGCTCCAAGCTCAGCCAGATCTTCTTGGGAGGAGGTGTTTCCGACTGCTCCAGCGGGCGCTAGGAACTTTGGCTCTCCGTTGGTACCAGAGGCAGAAGCTTGGAAGGTGAGGCGACAGGAGACGGCGACAACTCCACCACGTTCCATGGTGGAGGTGGAGTCGCCCGGGAAGCCGGAGAAGGGAGTGAGGAGGAAGCTGCTTGTGCACCGGATGAGTGCTGCGTCAGTCGACGCCTCATCTTCTCAGCACGGTCGGCCATGGCGGGAGTCGGCGCTTCGACTTCATCCAAGCTTGAGGAGTCGGAGTCGTAGGGACATGCGCAGATTAAGGAGTTAGCAGTCGGGCAAATAAAGAAAGCAAAGAAGGAGAGGGAGTTATGAAAGGCTACCTGTGGTGGCCGCACCAATTGGTAGGAGACCCCATTTCGCCATGGCACGCACCCGGGACCAGTACTTGGCGGAATAGGGCCCCATGCTCTTCAAGAACTCGGCGCCCTGGATCGCGTCCGAGGTGAAGATAACACGCCGGGAGTAGGGCTTGAAGAGAGCAGCCGTGTAACACCCCAGATTTTCAAGATATTTAAAACTTATAAAAGAAAGGTGAAATCTCATTAAATCCCAAAACATAATACAAGAGTACGGGGTGCTATGCCACACCTGAGCTAGAGAACTCAGGTGCACAGGCTAACTAACTAATTTCCTCAATAATGTAAATGCATAAACATGGCACGCAGGCCGAAAGGGAAACTATCTACTTCTACGTTCCAAGTTTTAGCGCGCTCCAGTGACTTATTCTTCTGTGCCTGAAAGCCAAATATATCTGTTCAGCGAGAGATGCTGGTAACCCACTCCAACGCGTTGAAATACAATACATATATATATATATATATATATATATATATATATATATATACATAGATATACGAAAAGTCATTTCGAAGCATGAAGATATATCCTAAGAGACTCTAGCTTTCAAATCAGGGAACCGACTCGACAAATATGGGTACACACAGTCTACAGTCATAACCAAGCATATACAATTCTCACACAGGAAACAGTCATAGATAAGCACAACCAATAATCACAATTAAGCATTACTAGCAAGAGCCCTATAACAGTCACAACATCAACCCTTCTTATCTCATCATATAGCACACTTTGTTAGCGCCACAGGACCAATCGCATGCCCATACATGAGGGTCAGTGCGTATAGCTCTGACACGGCCCCGCAGCACCCTGCCCCGTCTCACACTACGGAGGGGTCGATCGCAACCGACCGATGAGCCGCAGCTCTATATAATATTTATATACCTGACCGGTCTTTACCAGCCTGGTTAACAGTTGGGATGGTTCTCAACCCATTCAACTGCCCGTATAGTGGACCTTTGTCCTATATAATATTTATATACCTGACCGGTCTCTACCAGCCTGGTTAACAGTTGGGATGGTTCTCAACCCATTCAACTGCCCGTATAGTGGACCTTAGTCCTATATATTATTTATATACCTGACCGGTCTCTACCAGCCTGGTTAACAGCCGGTATGGTTCTCAGCCCGTCCGACTGCCCGTATAGCCCGATTGGTCTCAACCAAATCGGGGTAACATGCACACATACCACATAGCAAGCACATGCAACCCACATTAACACATTGGGAAGGGGGGAGAAAACGTATAACAAAACCTATGCGTGATCCTTCACATACTAAGAATAGTCCTAAGGGGTTCATACTCCTTTCACCTGGGTCAACGGGATACCAATTCAACTAGAATGCAATATATAAGACTCATACGACCTACGAACGGTACCCGAAAATCAAACTAGACATAGTCACGATAGACGGAGTCCGTTGGGACGCCACGGGGGTCGGGGGAACATCAAACGGGGAAGCTGTAACACCCCAGATTTTCAAGACATTTAAAACTTATAATAATGGTAGAATCTTATTAAATCCCAAGATATAAATACAAGCGTTCGGGGTGCTATGCCACACCTGGGCTAGAGAACCCAAGTGCACAGGCTAACTAACTAATATCCTCAAAGCGTAAATACGTAAACGTGGCACGTAGGCCAAAAGGGAAACTATCTACTTCTAAGTTCTAGCGCACTCCAGTGACTTAATCTTCTGTGCCTGAAAGCCAAATATATCTGTTCAGCGAGAGATGCTGGTAACCCACTCCAACGCGTTGAAATACGATACATATAGAGATATATATAGATATACAAAAACCATTTTGAGCATGAAGATATATCCTACGAACTCTAGCTTTAAAAACCGGGAATGACTCGACAGATAAGGCCAGACGCAAGCAACAGTTATAACGAGCATATGCAGTTCACAACAGATAAGGCAGATAAGGCAAAGCATAATCAATGATCATAACCCAACAGGAACAATCCCCAATATAAATCCCATAGTCACATCCCCCAAGACACTCGTAATCACAACTCGTCCATGTCACAACACATAACACACTTTGTTGGCGCCACAGGACCAATCGCATGCCCATACATGTGGGTCAGCGCATATAGCTCTGACACGGCCCCGCAGCACCCTGCCCCGTATCGCAACACGGAGGGGTCGATCGCAACCGACCGATGAACCGCAGCTCATCATAGTGTTTGATCGCAACCAAACAGTGGACCGCAGCCCAAGAGAATGTCATCTGACCGCAGCCAGGAAAAAGGACGAACCGCAGCTCGTATAGAAACGTTTGATCGCAACCAGACAGTGGGCCACAGCCCAAGAGAATGTTATCTGACCGCAGCCAGGAAAAAGGAAGAACCGCAGCTCGTATAGAAACGTTTGATTGCAACCAAACGATGGACCGCAGCCCAAGAGTATCAATCTGACCGCAGCCAGCTTCTGAACCGCAGCTCAGGATAACGAATCCGATCGCAACCGAATTGGGGTAACACACACATAACACATAGCAAGCACATGCAACCCACATTACACATTAGGAAGGGGGAGAAAACGTATAACAAAACCTATGCGTGATCCATCACTTACTAAGAATAGTCCTAAGGGGTTCATACTTCTTCCACCTAGGTCAACGGGATACCAATTCAAATAGCATGCAATATAATAGACTCATAAACCTACGAACGGTACCCGAAACATCAAACTAGACATAGGCACGATAAACGGAGTCCGTTGGGACACCACGGGGAACGGGGAACATCAAACGGGGAAACCGGGAGCCCGAGGTAGTGTAATTTCCAGCGGGTAGCCGGTGGGTGGGGGTCCACCCGCCGGCTGCCACTGTTCCGGGCAGCGGGTGCCCGGCGGGCAGCTGCCCGCCCGCCGGCTGCCTGCTGCCGGAGCTGCCCGAGAATGCCGCGGGTAGGTGGCGGGTCCCCTACCCCCACCTACCCCCCACTGACTCTTTTCATCACTTTTCGCCCCGGGAACCGTTGTGGAACCCGAAACCATGCTTAGACACTTTACAACGCAATTAACAACAACAAGTAGACAATTAACGGATCAAATACGGGAAACGAACGGCACTTGGCCTATCATGCTTTTCTAAACATAATCAACACCCAAACATGCGATTTCCCACCCGATAATCCAAGAATCAAAGCATACGGAACAACCTAGGGTTCTAATTACTTTTATATCAACAAGAATACGATTCGTCTTCTAATTGCAAGATTCGGTAGGAACAACACATAATCATCAAGGATACAAATTAATCATCAAGAATATCATAATCATCAAGAACAACACGTAATCATCAAGAGTCCCAATTAATCATCAAGAACATCACAATTATCAAGAAACTCCCAATATCAAGATTATCAAGATTCCCCATGGAATCATTAAATCAACATCAATAATAATCATAGTAATTTGCCATTTACAATCATATGGGGGAAACCCTAAGGGGAAATCATAGCTATGAAAATAGGTTTTGTTGAGACATGGGTTACCTCTTAGCCTTAATCAATTCCTTGGCTATGAAGGGTCTTTCTTTAAGCTTTCTTGCTTTCTTGATTTCTTCTAAGGGGATTCTTGGAGCACTTTGGGGTGGTGGAACGTTTATTGTGGTGGGGGGTTCTAGGTGCCTCTTAAGTCCCCTATTTATATATTTAGGAGTCCTGGTTAGGAACTAATATTATAGGCTTGCTAATTCTATTCCTTTTGGAACTAAGGATTGGATTTAGGGATAAGGGTCCATGGTCCATAGTGGACCATATTAATTAATTAAAGGGAATCCTACTCGTAGTCTGAATAGTAAAAGGCCTACTTCCTTTATTCCTTATAGATAACTAGGTCTAGGATTCCTAATTAGAATCTGAATAGTAAAGGGTTTACTTTCTTTATTCCTAATAGGCTTAGGACTCTAATTTAGGCAAGGGTCCACGGTTCATGGTGGACCTTTATTAATTAATTAAAGGAAACCTAACCGAATTAAATCATATTTAATTTTTATTAACGGGATTAATTTAATAATTAATTCGGGATTGAAGGCCGTAACACGGGGTGTTACATTCTCCCCCCCTTACGAGAAGCTTCGTCCCCGAAGCTTGGAAATCATTGCAGGGTTAACGAGTCAAGAGAAGAACCGTGGTCCTATAGAGAAGGTATTCCACGGGGAAATTGTATACTTGCACGCCTATGTGTGTTGGGTTTTTGGGAGCGATTAGGTTTTACAGGGCTAAGAGAGTGGGTTTCAAACTTGAGGACACGGTGAATTCAGGAATTAGGATCAAGTTTTCGAGGTTGCAACTTAGGTTGTGAGGTTGCCACTTGTATGGAATCGTTAAAACATGGGATTGAGAATGGGGTCTGAAGGGTAGAAAGGGTTTTGAAATAAGGAAGGGGCCGATTTTCCAAGGGAGGGAAAGGAATTCGGCTAGGATGGGTTAAGGTTTCTCGATCCCAAGTGAATAATCTGGTTAGATGCTTTGATCACGATGCGCCGACGAGCTGATGATCCTCCTTCCTTGGTGTTGGTGCTTGCTTGACTTTAAGATCCTTGTTAGACCTTGCTTCCCAGGCTAAGGTTTCATCCTTCTCTTCTTTCTTGAGGGAATTTCCCGTGGTGATTCAACACTTACTTCTTTAATGCGCCCAAGGTCTTGACCGAGTTGGGTCAACCAAGCCAATCTCTTAGGGCGCATTTCCCAAATTCTTTCCAAAGTCTCTTGGGAGTCGATGGACTTTGGGTTGAATTTCTCTTCTTATTGAATTTCATCTCCTCTTTAGTGGATGAAATTCTTAGTAAAACTTCATGTCTTACCCGAGGTTCGGC